TACTCCAAGAAAAAACACATCACAAAAGATCCATTACTGAGAGAATTGGTTCATGAGTAAGAAAAATGCTACAATCCAGAAACCAAGCTAGAAGGTACCACAAACTCAACAACAATGGTAGAATCAAGAAACTCACGAACCTTATCCTTCTGCGAATTCACCAAATCCGTCTGAGTATCCACAGACTCCAATTCAGCCAGATCCTTAAAATACGCAATCGAAGCAATCGAAAAACCTTTAGCTCTAGCCGGAGAGAAATTTTCCCCAACAGTAATCTGACCAATCCCTGGAAATTTCTCACGAAGCCCCTTAATCACATCCACGATCTCCGATTTAGCCTCATCGGAAACATTCTCTTTCACCTTAAGGAAAGTGATTTTAGCAACGGAACCAGAAGGCGGAGCTAGGGTTCCGGGGATTTTATCAGCGATCCAATCAACAGCCATAACGTCTTCGCAGATCGGTAACACCGATTCCTTAACAACGCGAACGTGATCAGGATGTGCAGCATAGGAGTTCAGATCTTCCTTCGATCCGTATCGGCTATGGAGGACGTGAGTGAAAGCGGAAGCGGATCTGACACGGTGGAGAGGAGCGGCGGAGATATGAAGAACCTGGTTGAGAGAGACGAGGGCGTTGAGATTGTTGATCATTGAGGTGATTTTGTTGGAGTCAGTATCGTCTTTGACCTTGAAAAGGACGATGTGCTCGATGATTTGTTTCGGAGGAGAGGAGGAAGACATGGTGGTGGTTACAGCGGAGAGAGATCGGCGTCGGAGATGGAATGTTGGGGAGTGTTTGGTTGAGGAGAAAACGAGAGAAAATGATGATGGAGAGGAAAATAGCGGTCGAGCTCTAACGCAAAGCATATTATCTCTTCTTCGGCGTTTTTGTGGAGTGAGATTTTGGTTTTGATCGCGACTGAGAGAGTGTTAAAAGTTAAAAACAGTTTGTTTGGTTGGTGAGGATAATTCGGAGATCGAGTTTAGCAGGACGTTTCGCGTTTTGGTATGTAAAATATCATTTTTGTTCGAACGAACCGGAATCCAACCCGGTTCGAACTGAACCAACAAAATAACAAATCGAACAGAATTAAAATTTGGTTCTATTTTGGACCTATTTTCCAATTCTAAAAGATACGAAATCTGAAAAAGGTTAAAAACCCAAACTGCGCTTAGCATTCCAATGTGACTAGACATTTTTTTCTGGTTTTAAATGCCTCTTGTTTTTTTATGGGTTAATTACTTTAATACTCGTTCCGTTCCTAAAAGATGTATGTTTAAAGTTATG